TATATATATATATACACATATATACACATATATATGGAGCTGTTTTTGTATGACAACCCAGTGAAAAGGATGCCTGCAGCACCAGCACAACGTTATGACATTACGCGCGCCGTTGAGTTTAGATTTGTGAAAAGTTGCAAATTTGCACTATTCAAGTGTTGTCATTGTGTTAGAGAGTAAATGTCATGAATAAATTTGACATTAAACATAATCCAAGTTGAAGTGTTACATCATTTTCAGCCTTCTTTTTGGCATCTGCATTTGGTTGCAGGCCAAATTAACAAAGGCCATGCAGAGTAATGTAGTATTTTAATTCCACAGCAGAGAAATCTGCAGTCTCAGTAAGAAGGTCTAGTATTGGTATCAGTTATCGGCCAAATAAGTTTAAACATATCGGCCAGAAATCCAATATTGTGCATCCCTAATAAAAGTGGTTCTTTGGCAAACAGTTGGTGCTAAAGCCAGAGTTATTCGATGCCGAAGTTGCGTGTATGAGCTTGAAATAGGAAGAAAAAAGAAACAATGCTGAGCATTGGCTATGGTTTAGAGTTGGAACCCTTTAGGTGGAAAAAACACTTCTCCTTCAGAAGATGGAAGACTGATCTCAATTATACCCATTTGTTCTGGTCATGTCAACAAACATGCACACAACTGGACTCAGTAACTTTTATCAGAATGTGAAAGAAAGACCAAATCATTTTAAAACAGGCATTGGCAGGTGATCTTTCATTTCTGGAATGCTTTTACTAATGTCACTAGATCAAAATGTTACAATTAATTTATATAATGATAGAAAAAAAGCTTTGTGCATGTATCTCCAGCCTGCTTTTGAGTATTCAGTGCTGCTTGATTTTGGTTTAGCACCTTTTAAGAATAAATCCTCTCATGAGATTATAGCTAAAATATCTCCTTTCGGAAACAACCACAGGAAGTCGTCTGAACGATCTCGGCTGCTTTCGGCTTCTCATTGAACAGGAAGAATAATGATGTCTGACTGAGCCTCGCAGGAGATAAAGCAGAGCACCTCCTGGCTGTTGCCATGGAAGTGATAACAGGTGACAATGTCCATTTAATAGGCTTATAACAATCCCATTGTGTTTATCACTCCATCCAAAAGGAACAAAGTCATACATCACTTCTTTGTTTCTCTCGTCTGGCAGAAAATATGGATCAGGAGCTTTTGAGAGTAAAATACTTAATTTGATCATCAATAACTTGGAAACTACTTTTACTTTGTTACTTAAAAACACAATTTACTTTTAAAAACATCTTAATGTTAATGTCCTAAATCATATAGACGGTCTTTCAAACGTGTGTATAAATCACAATGTCAATGACTGACAATGAAACGATGCAATCTTTCTCTGGCAGGGCTCAAGAAGTTTTTCTTGCTCATATTTATGCTACTCTAACACAACTTACGCAACAAACAGGTGATTTTACTATATTGTTTACGAAGATTGAATAGCAATGTAAGTAATCCCTTTACGGCTCTTTTTTTATTTGATGTTTTACGTGATCTGTGCTCATCTGAAAAATGTGTTGTTTTTTCCAAAAGATGAAAAATGTGTTCTGCTGCATGTCCCCCTGTCTCCGATTTCTTTTTCCACAATTGTAATTTCATTTTTTTTACAGAGACTTTCATCTGTAGTTATCAAAATGATGTGGATCACAGGATTTAGGGTTAAAGTACAGGCGTATGTTCAGTAACGATCAAGTGCCTTGTTTCCTCGTGGAGATGTTCGATGTGAAACTTGGACACATCTAATGTTTGTTCTGTGTTTATTTCCCCACAGCTGTCGTCAGCAGCACCTCCAAAACCGTGCGAACTAATAAAAGTGTTTCATACTCGCCTGCTGTTGACAGTTCATTGGCTATTAAACGTTATTGGCACACATGGGGGAAAACACAACTCAGTGGAGATTCTTCAAAGCCGGCAGGCCTTCAGGACAAATAACTCCCTCTTGTAAAGTCTCCGGTGTATAAAAAAAAATCAATCAGCTCTTGTTCTGAAGTCGCAGGAAGTTGTGTGTTTTCATGTTTTTCATCATGCTGATGTGAAGCGAATGGGAGCCTCCACACATATTGGAGGCAGAAGTGCAATTTTTGCCTCACAGATTGAGGAA